CCCCCCCCCCCCCCCCCCCCCCAAAACTTCTGCATCAGTAACAGCCTCTAACAGTTGGAATAGCACACTGCTTTCACGGTTCTCCTCAACTGATGGAGAAGAGGCAGAAGACTGATCAATGTAACCAGATTATCTGAAGAAAGGCCCCCACAGATCCGTTTTGTAGCCACGAGGGTTTAATGATCAGAGGACTTCACCAAATTCCCGCAACCCTTTGAAGTGTATCCATTCTTCAATCTGAATTTCTGATCCTTTACTTCCCTAAATTTTGTTAATCCATGGTCACTCTTCTCAGTACTCCACTCTGCATGAGACTCATTTTTCATTACTGATGAAAGTTTTGAAGCTGGGCTTTGAAATCATCTCTTAACTCTTCACATTTTTAACAAAATTTGACTATAACCCCCAAGACAGCAGGCCTCTAAAAAAGGGGTGTTTATTGAGCCATCAGCTTTAATTTATCATAGGAACTAACATTCTGATGCAAAGGAAATAGCCCAAGAAGGAAGTGAGGGACACAAATGAAACAGTAGATGACATTTATTTTCCAAAAAGCAAGGACATTCCTAACAGGTTACAGAACATTTCTTCATTCAAGGATGTCATATTCTGAAAATATACATTTCACTTGCAGTGGTCTACTTAAGCTACATACCTTTTTATTGATTGCATTAATTGTTTCACGCAGTTTAGCTTCACTGAGTGCTGTCCTTCTAGTCAGTACTTCTTGATGCTTACAGCTGTATCTCCATGTGACATCAACAACCTCAAACACAAGACGAAGAAAACAGAGCAATCAAAACTTCCTATCTTGATTTAAAGAGGTTAACTATTCAAAGTACTTTTTTAGATCTAATAATTCTGGAAATCACATTAAGATGGAATACTTCACACACTTGCCCCAGGGCAATGCATTGGGTTTTTTGTGGGGGGGAGGGAACAGGACTGGTTTGGTATGGATATTTTTTTGTTTCTTTAAATCACCATTCCTACCTCATCTTTGGAGAATGCAATTATGTAGGAAAGCTTCTTTCCCCAACCAATTTCATAGAGGAGAGGTTTATCACAGACATTTTCACAGGGATCACAGTGAAGCCATCTTTTCTGAGATGCAGAATATACTTCAGTCCATACATGATCTACATAACAGAGGCCAAAAGTAGGCAATGAATTACAGGAATAGATCCCTTCTAAAGGCCCAGAATAATGAAACTTTTCCTTACTTATGAAATAAAACGAACAGGTAAGAGAATATATTTCTGTTAATATCTATTCAGACAAATTAGCAGAGCTTTTTCTTTCTACCTTAGCATCATGTTCCCTTTGATTCAACAAAAGACTAACACTCTGAAGTCAGACATCTCTCCTTAGTTACACAACTATATTTCACTTTGTCAGACAAGAGGGGAAACAATTTATATTTCTTTGTTAGTTAAACTACATAACTTTACATGCTGCCTGATGGACTAACAGAAACTTAGAACCATAACATTCTATCTCATTCTGCGTGTACTTGTATTAAAATAATATGTTCTCTTGTACTGTTACCTGTCCAATCCCTGACATATCTAGCTTCAAACCCCATAGCTCTGCAACACAGTGTAAAACAGTTAGCCCATTCGCCACAGCGTCCACATCTGGTTTCCAGAAGTTTCTCTGGATTATTATACCTAGTGGAGGAAAAAAAAAAAAAGAATAAAGGAAAACATATTTCATCTTTCAAAATATTTACATCATGACTGCCCTTGCAATGATTTGAACAGATTTTAGTGCCATTCAGTTCACAGAAGATAATGGGAATGATTGCTGCATTGAATAGAACAAGTATGAGCAGAATGCTACTTTCACTGTGACTCTGATGAGTCTATCACCTGTTCATAACAGTACCGAAATTAATCTGATTTTTTAGTTTTCTAGATTAACTCAGACTTCAGCTTAAAATATGACTGTTGTATGGTGGTCATTTTGATTGTTTGCAAAAGTATCTAAAAATAGGATATTTACTCTTCCGCTACAAAGTCAGCAGATCTGCTTTATCTTATCTGCAAGATCACAAAAGAAGTGAAACAGCATTTCTTGAAATACTAAAAAAAAAAGTAATAGCATGCCAATGTTAACATACTTTATTTAGAAACTGAACTTTATCAAAATAACAGTAAAAAAATATCAGGCATACATTCAGAACAAAGCTGTGTAAATGAAAGCAATATATTTTCTTTAAAAAAATTCTAAAAGAGATGTCACTGTTTCATCAACCATCTGATCATGTTACTTATAAAAGCTTCTCTAACGTTTGATCCAACAACTTACCACTTGTTCATAAAATGCATAAGTGCAAAGCTGTTTCACAAAAGAAATGAAAAAAAAAGCAAAACAGATCTTTGTATGCTCACCTTGGGAATCTATTACAGAACTGACACTGGCTGCAGTAATGATTTTCCACTCTATCAGCATTCCACCTCAGATCATCATAAGTTGGTGAGAGGTAGTCTCTTTTAATTTCAGTCTGGCCACCACACCTGCTGCAAGGCAGATTATCTACCCAACGAAAGAAGTCATTCTTAAACCAGTTCAAGAGCTCCAACAACAAGAAGTCTTCTTCATTCACATGTTCACCTGTAGAATTTACACAAGGAGAGATCAAATAGTAAAACAAGAGTTTAGCTGAATTTTACAGTATCTACCTAGATCACCATTTCTTGGGCCTTTATTACATTTTAGAAGTCTCATTAAAAAAAGGTTCACATGTTGCTTATTCACTCAAGAGAGAAAATCCAAGTGAAGACTGAATAATGGCAAACTGTATTTCAGGAACAAAAATCTGCACTCCCAGACACTACAGCTAGAGTGAGAATTAGGAAATTCTCAGAAGAACAAGTTAGACATACAGTGAAGCCAGGTGAACTTCCTCATGCCTCTCATGTTCCTCTAGGGCTATGAAAGAGATACTATACTAACTCTTCTTCTGCTCCTAAGTATTCTCTTTCTGTTCTTTGCTATTAACCTAGGAATAACAATTGCTTTTGATCTCAAATAATCAGATACCAGCACCTTATAGCCAGCCACATGTAATATAAGCTGTCTGCAGAAAGTCAAGTACCACAGAACATGCATGCATGTTAAGTAAATAAAGTTAAGCTTGTTTATAACCTCATCAAGAAACAGTTTTGTCAGCTTACTCAAAATGACACAATGTCTCTATTTTTCTACTCTGATTCTACCACATCAGAACATCAGACTCTTCTGACTCTTTGTCCAGTGCTCACAACAGGTGTCTTCTCACATACCGTCAACTATTCTGCTGTTTGGAAATAATCCCGCTCCACCTGAAGTTATAAAATCCAGCCTTCTAAAAGAAGAGATCCACCTTTTAAACTCTTTATAGTCTTTAAATGTATATCCTGCTCTAATGTCCAAACATTAAAGGAAGTCTTCCTATTAACTCCACCATCTAGGTAATCACTCTGCAATCATAGGTACTAATATGTGCTTACTTTATGTACTACAGTTTGCTTATAGACACAGTGCTGACAGACTGCACTCATGAAGACAAAAAGTATTTAAGAAAAACACCGTTTAAAGGAAATTGTACCAAATTTGTGCACTCTTCTTTCTCAGGATAGTGAAGAAGGAGTAGATGAGATGTATATTTTATCTAAATTCAATTCATATCTTCTTCTGAAGTACTCTGCCTGCTACAGAGCACTAGGGACTGCTAACTACATTAAACACACATTGCCAAGAGAAGATCATCTGCTAATCAAAACCAAAAGAACTGAGACTTCAGACTGAATTTAATTAAGTAACAATGACAATTTTACTGTATTACTGCTTTCAAAATGTAGGCTTATGTGCTCAAACTTCCTTCTATGAGCAGAAGATTTTGAGCACAGGCAACATGCTCTTTTCATGGACTGCAACATGTAAACCAGAACCCTACAAAAATATAACCACTATTATATCAATATTCTTCTTCTTGTAAATAGGTCCTTCATGAAAAATTGCATGGAAAGAATGACAAAGAAGATGTACTTGAACAGAAAACAGCTCTCCGTGACGGCCAGCTATTTTCAACTGCACAATCAGTCCTTCTAATGGAAAGAGGTAAAGTGAAATAGTCAGAAATTCGTACTTCTACTCAAATGACAATAGCCTTCCTAACACAGTCTTTAAGGACAAAATCCTAAGATGTCTGCTAAAAGAAGTCCTAAAAGCAAATGCCACCTAGCACCAAGCAGTTATTCCTGCAGGTAACAGCCTTAACCCAGCAATATACGAAAACAGAAGAAGCTGGAAGTGACAGTTAGCCATAAATCTCATAAGCAGTCCACTTCCAAAGGAAATTGTCTCTAAAGCTCTTAAAAATGGCTTCAAGTTGTTATAACTCCAGAATGGTGGAGTTCCATTCTGTGCCCCTTTATTTTTATCTAAATGAACTTCTGGAAATCATTTTGAATAGATCAGCTTGATGTCTAGGGAAGAAGCATCTGAAAATACCACCCTCCTTTCTTCCTTGCTTTCAAAATAGTGTATACAACAGAATTGAAACAGGGTCTAATATGAACATTTGTCTTTTTTTAAATAAGTGATAAATAAAAATTATTTAAATATCTGTATTTTACTTTAAATCACTGTATTTTACTAAAGTGCTGACTGAAAATGCTTTTTAATTATCTATGTAATTTACTACTCCCCAGAATACCTTTGCAAAAAAAAAAAAAAAGAGAGAGAAAAAAATATCAAGAAAGGTTCACTTATGTCAAAGGTATTACAGATTAATGTGGCTGTATCAGACAAAGTCATCCAGAAAAATGATGAGAAGAACTTACCTTTGGTTTGCAATCCCATTTGGTTTGCATTCCCATCAAGCTAGAATTTCTCTAAAGTCCTCTATCAAAGATTCACAGTGAAAAAGATCTTTTAAATCAAAACATAGTCTTGAACGCCCATTAAAAATATATATAATCTTGTACAAATAAAATTTCACTATATTAATAGAATAAATCTAAACTTTAGTTAAAACGGCTTAGTGGCTTACTGGCAAACACTTGCACTTTCAAAAGAAATTAAGATTTCTTTTCTTCAATAAATAAATGACTACTGATGCTACAAATACTTATGCATAACTTTTGGTCAAAGATAATGGCATTTGAACAATCTTATTCATTTTAGCATTTGCAAGAATGGTGTTTCTTCTCATATCAGATTGTGTTTTGTAAAGGCCAAAAGCAAGATCTCACCAATAATATAATTCTAAAGAGAGAAACAATATTTTGGAATTCTTCTGAATTTGGAATTGTAGTACTGACAGAAAAGCAGTACTCTGACATTTCAAAATGATGACTATAAATAAAAATAGCTCACTTCCCTCTTGTAGTTATTTCACTCTAGATGCTCATTCAATTTGTCTGTCATAGCTTGCTGCTAATTCAGAAATTACGACTTCAAAATTTCCACATGAAAGTAGTAACAGATGGATGAATAAAAACAATCAGAAAAATAAAAATCAGTAGTAAATTAAATAGTAAAAAATATGAAAAGAATAGAAAATTTGAAAATTAGTAATGAGTAAGAGGGCAATTCTAACACAGAAACAGCACTTGGAATCTGCGTATATATGACCTAATACCCACACCTAAAGAATGGTAGATGTTTGAAAGAATATTTTTGCTTCCATATACATTGCAACATTACCTTTGTCCAGTCTTGCAGCTTGTGCTAGCTTTTTCTGAGCCTTCTCTTTCAATTGCTGGAGGGGAATCAAAGCTAGTGCTTTCCGCTGAAGAGAAGTATTCTCATACGCTAATATAAGATGCTCACATTTGCTTTGAAGTGTTGTCAACATATCTGCAGCCTGCAAAGGATTTTCAGTTACAAAATGGCTTATAAGCCTCCTCTTTAAGCAGCAGAACCAAGCTCCTGCATCTAGCTCAAATCAGTCACAATCCTATACTCACAGTTGCATTATTTTTATCCTTAGTAAATAATGTAGAGTCAGGACAAAGAAGAATTTTTAAAAGACAATTCTGCTGACAAACTTCTGAACTTCCTTTAACCCATCCTCCTCCCCCCCCCCTTTGCAATATTTAAATATATTTAAAGTATAAAAATCACAGAACCACAGAGTTACAGGTGTTGGAAGGGATCCCAAGAGATCACTGACTCCAACCCCTTGCTAAAGCAGGTTGTCTACAATAGATCACACAGGCAAGCGCCCAGATGGGTCTTGAGTATTTCCACAGGAGACTCCACAACCTCTCTGGGCAGCCTGTTCTAGTGCCTTGCTGTAAATAAGTTACTCTGCCTTTTTGTATGGAACTTCCTATGTTGAAGTTTTATGCCACTGCTTCTTGTCCTATCACTACTGAGAAGAGCCTGGCTTCATCCATTTGCCTCCAACCTCCCTGTAGATATTTATAAACATTAATCAGATCCCCACTCCCTTCCTCCCCCGTTTTCTTTTCCCCAGGCTGAACTGACCCAAGTTACTCAGCCTTTCCCATTCTCTAGCAATAGATCATGCTTCAGTTTTTAGTCTTATTAACCTTATTAACTAGCTTCTTGGCTTCATCAAAAATTCCGTTATTTCTTGAGATACGATACAATATAGCAAGACTCCCATGAATCACAGGTGCAACATATAAGAAATAAAAATGCTTTCACTAAAAAGACCATCCTAAATCTCTGATATCTAACAACACTGCATACAATAATACAACAGCTCACTGAAAAAACAAAACACCTCTTCCTGTGTGCACAAAATGGCAAAGCCAGAAGGTATCTTGCAGACTTCATTCTAATTAACACAATATATAGACCAAAATTCAATAGGTTCAGAGAGTTATTATTATAAGTCCTTGAAAAAAGAAAAATCAGAGATACAGATTTCTAACGAAGTACAACCATTGTAATATTTGTCTCTAAACTGTAGTAAGTTTTGGTCCCACCACTCATGCTGAATCACAAGAAACCTAGAAAAATGCACTGACTACAGCAAGTCTTTACAGAAGTTTCATAACCACTTCCAACAACCATTACAGAAGTGAATAAGTCAGTGAAACACAATAAGCAGACGTGAAATACCAAATGTAGAATGATTGGATGTACTTTATCTGCTTACTCGCACCCATGCAGCATCATTTCCCTGACACAAATCTTTGGATAGGTAAGAAACAGCACATCTCAGTTCAGCATCCAACAACATGGGTTGCAGTGACCACGCTCTGGTCGAGTTCATGATCTCGAGGGATGTGGGCCTGGTGAAGAGTGGCGTCAGGACCCTGAACTTTGGGAGAGCAAACTTTAAGCTGTTCAATGGACTGTTGGCCGAGATCCCCTGGGATGCTGTCTTTAAAAACAAAAATGTTGAGGAGAGCTGGTTACTCTTTAAGGATGCCTTCCTAAGAGCGCAAGAACTCTCCGTCCCTCTGAACAAGAAAGCAGGCCGAGGAGGGAGGAAGCCAGTGTGGCTCAGTAAGGACCTGCTGGGTGTGTTGAGGGCGAAGAAAGGTACGTACAAGCTCTGGAAACAAGGCCATGTCACCTGGGAAGAATACAGAGATGCCATCCGGACTTGCAGATGTGGATCAGGAAAGCCAAGGTGCAGGCGGAATTGAACTTGGCAAGGGATGTGAAAAACTTTCTACAGAAGACTTTCTACAGGCACATCGGCCAGAAGAGAAAGGCCAAAGCGAGTGTACCTCCTTTGGTAAATGTAAAAGGAGAACTGGCTACAACGGACAAAGAGAAGGCTGAGGTACTGAACGAGCTCTTTGCCTCAGTCTTCGCTGGCAGCCAGGATTCCAGTACTTCTCACGTCCCTGAGCCCTGCATCCCTACACCTCTGGGTGGGGATTGGGGTGGTAAATCCCCTCCCCGCTGTGAGGACAGAGCAGGTCCGAGACCGCCTCACGAGACTGAATGTGTACAAGTCTATGGGGCTGGATAGCATGCATCCCAGGGTTCTGAAGGAGCTGGCTGAGGTGGTTGCCGAGCCGCTCTCCATCATACTTGAAAAGTTGTGGCTGTCCAGTCAGGTCCCAGATGACTGGAGGAAGGGTCACGTCACTCCCATTTACAAGAAAGGGAGCAAGGAGGACCCCGGGAACTACAGGCCGGTGAGTCTCACCTCTGTGCCTGGGAAGATCATGGAACAGATCATCCTGGATGACATGCTTGATCACATGAGGAAAGGGCCAGCATGGCTTCACCAGAGGAAGGTCATGCTTGACCAATCTGGTGGCTTTTTATGATGGAGTGACGGCATCGGTGGACAAGGGAAAGGCGACCGATGTCATTTACCTGGACTTGAGCAAGGCCTTTGACATGGTCCCCCACCACACCCTTATCTCCAAATTGGAGGGATGTGGATTTGATGGGTGGACCACTCAATGGATAAGAAACTGGTTGAAAGGCTGCAGACAGAAGGTGGTCATCAATGGCTCTATGTCCAGGTGGAGGCTGGTAACGAGCGGCATCCCCCAGGGATCTGTCTTGGGACCGGTGCTCTTTAACATCTTTATCAGTGACATCGGTGACGGAATCGAGTGCACCCTCAGCAAGTTTGCTGACGACACCAAGCTGAGTGGTGTGGTTGACATGGTTGAAGAAAGAGATGCCATTCAGAGGGACCTTGAGAGACTAGAAAGGTGGGCCAGGGTGAACCTGATGAGGTTCAACACGGCAAAGTGCAGAGTTTTGCACTTGGGCCGGAGGAATCCCAGGCATCCATACAGACTGGAAGGAGCGGTCCTTGAGAGCAGCCCTGAGAGAAGGACCTGGGCGTCTTGATAGATGAAAAACTTAATATGAGCCAGCAGTGTGCCCTTGCAGCTTGGAAGGCAAATGCTATCTTGGGCTCCATCAAAAGAGGGGTTGGCCAGCAGGGACAGGGAGGTGATTGTTCCCCTCTACTCTGCTCTTGTGAGGCCCCATCTGGAATACTGCATCCAAGTGTGGAGCCCCCAGTACAAAAAAGACAGGGAGCTGTTGGAGAGGGTCCAGAGGAGGGCCACGAAGATGATCAGGGGACTGGAGCACCTCCCCTATGAAGACAGGCTGAGGGAGCCGGGTTTGTTCAGCCTGGAGAAAAGAAGGTTGCGGGGTGACCTCATTGCAGCATTTCAATACCTGAAGGGAGCCTACAAACAGGAGGGGAATCAACTCTTTGAAAGGGTAGATAACTGCAGAACAAGGGGAAATGGTTTTAAGTTGGAGGGGAGATTTAGGTTGGATGTCAGGGGGAAATTCTTTACAGAGAGAGTGGTGAGGTGCTGGAACAGGCTGCCCAGAGAGGTTGTGGACACCCCGTCCCTGGAGGTTTCAAGGCCAGATTGGATGGGGCCCTGGGCAGCCTGGTCTAGTATTAAATGGGAAGGCTGGTGGCCCTGCATGTGGCAGGGAGGTTGGAGATTCATGATCCCTGAGGTCCCTTCCAACCCTGGCCATTCTGTGATTCTGTGAACATACAAATAATTTCATTTAAAATAGACAAATTCTGCTGAAGGATGCCTAAGTAGAAAACTTTTGGAAGAATTCATCTTGCACCAACTTATTTAAGACAATGGTTCTAAGGGAGAAAGCTTCAGAGTTAAACCAAAGCACCCTTCAACATTCTATCAAACAGTGTAACTGCTTCATTTTCCAAAGTAAGATGAGGTCTTACGAGTCTTCTCCTGCTAGACCAAGGTAACATCAGCTGAAAGGACGACTCTGCTTCTTTATCACCAGAGAACTTCATCTCAGCTTAACTAAAAATAAAATTTCTTTGCCTTGCTGAATTACCGCCTCACCCTTACAGTCTACAAATGCAGGTCACAATGTGTGAACTGAAATGTCAACAATGATAAACATATGTTGTAGTTTAACTCAGCAGGTGGCTGAGAATCACACAGCCCTCCCTTCCCAGTAGGATGGGGGTGGGAATTGAAAGGAAAAAAAAAAACAAAGCACAACTTGTGGGTTGAGATAAAGCCATTCACTAAGATAGAAAAAAAGAAAAGGATAATAATTATGACAAATGTATATATATATGCACATATAACAAGTGATTGTTCAGCACTGACTGATGCCCAGTTAGCCCCCCCAGCTGTGGAGGAGAGCAAGATGAACCCTCACCCCCTTCAAAACTCTCCTTCTTCATTATGTCACATGGCATAGAACATTCCTTTGGCCAGTTTAAGCCTGATTCTGTACCCTCCCAGTCCACTGTTTCTATGAGCTGAGAAACTGGAATGGCCTTGGCTCTGTACAACACTGCTTAACAGGAACTATAAACATCAATGTTGACAGCACATCATTTTTCTCCCAGAACCAAAACATAGCATCACATCAGGCACTCCAAAGGAAACAGTCCCAGTTAAAATGGAGACAACATACATGTCAGTTCTTTTGTTGGCTCTCAGACAAATACTGCAGTTTTAGCCTCCCTCTCTTCTTTGCTCCCCCTTGTTGCACTTTCCAATACAACTCAGCTACTTTTCATGATGACCTGATCAATAAAACACATCTATAGACATCTTCAACAAAATCCCTTGCTAATGTTCTACTTATGGCATGCTTCATGTTGAAGATCTAAAAAAACAACCAACCAACCACTACTCTAACCTCCTTCTCAAAGCAAGGCTAGCTATAAGATCAGACCAACTTGCTCAAGGCTTTATCCAGTCAGGTCACAAAAAGTCACGTTTGGAGATTAAACAACCTGAGCAATCTGTTCCAACAGTTGACTCCTTCAATCTTTATATTCAAGATTAGTGCTTCTCTAAAGTATTCAGGTAGTAATTACCATTTTGAGAGATTGCAGAAGTGACGTTTCTGGCTGCTGATGTTCAGGGGCAGGAACAGAGCCAACAGGTCTCGAAGGCTGATGTGCAATTGTCGGAGCACTGGCTACAGTTTCAGAGGATCCTGATCTGTGGACTTGATTCGACTCATTCAGCCTGCTACTCCTCTCTACAGCAATTAGATCTCTGATTTTACGTAGTTGCTCAATCGACGCCTCCTTTGGGAAAACCATGTGAGTTTCTCCCTGAAATTTGGGCAAATTAATACAGCAGTTAACACAGGTCTAAGCCAGCAATAGATACAGGCCAGTGACTAACAGCTATATCATTTATTAGAAATTAGCCTACTAAGGCTTCACAGGACTTCACTTTCAGGTTGGGTTCCTTACAGCAGAAACTTGTAGATTTTTCAAAGCAGAAGCTATAAAATCAAGTACCTATAGTCAGCCTAGAGGAAAAGCAGTCACAATAACACTTTGTTACAATAACTTTTGTAAGCAACTTATTTTGCAAACTAACACATGGAGAACAAAAGCACAGCTTGGCAGAGCAAGCAGCAGCAACAGAAACAAAAAAGAAAACAGTCAGTTCTCCCAGTACATCAGTGAAACACCACACGACACAATAGGATAGCCAGCATCTGGAGAAGAAGTCCTGTAATTATCTTCTATGCTCATATTTAAGTTTTCAGATGGGAAATGTTTTTCTTATTTAGACCTGTACCCAGCTGGAATGCTGGGTCCTATCTTTGATTGCAACATGATTACTGCTGACTACAGTAAAAAAAAAAAACAACAGTAATTAGGATGGAATTAGTAGCAGTACACTTAACATACACTAACATGTTACTAAAAACATGGATACCCTGAAACATTCATAGTTTAAGTTTCAGTTTTTTAACTAAGTAATGTTTTTACCCACACTGTTACCTTAGGCACCCATCACTGTAGATGCAACACTTTACTTTTCACGTAGAGTCACCACAAAATTAAATGGATTGTACCAATCCAGAAGTCCTCTTTTTTTTTTTTTTTTTTTTTTAATTAAGTTAGCTCACCAGGCAGACAAAAGAAGGAACAATTGTAGCTACTATCGTTGGAGAAAAGTTTGTGAACTCCAGCCTCAGTTGGCACTATAACCAGAAGACTGAGCCAATATACTTTTAAAGCTCTGACAGAAGAGGAAGTAGCATTTTACAATAGGCCCGAAAATGACTAAGCTATTACTGCTTGAGTGCTTCACTCCCTGCTTGACTACCTCTTGGCTAAAACACATTGTTTGAAAGTAATCTCCTATGCATCAGTCTGCAAATAAACCTACAGACCATTTCTTCCTCTTAAGTCACCATTTCTTTCCACGTGCATTTATTTAGTTCCTAAAATCAGGATAAATAATGGACTTCACTGAAACAGAAGAAAGAAGTATCTCATGACAACTGGACCTACATAACAATGTATGTACCCACACAAAATTGCTGCACTAAACAGACAACATAAAGCAAAGCTAGAGCAAGATCTTTGCACCATTAAGCAAAAGTTGTTTCTTTCACCCCAGCACTGTTGTAAATACAAAGGTTGACTCTAGCTCAACAAGCGTTGGAGTTAAAATATATTAAGACAGAGACCATTTCAGCATGCAAAGCAATCTTTGAAATACATGTTTATGACTGCAACAGTATTAATATTCACTTGTTACATTGTTAAGAAGCAGTTTCATAATTATTTAACTGCGTAAGTCCCACCATCTCACTACTTCAATAACCTGCTGCCCTTTTCACAGCTACAACAACACTAGTACTAGCAGCTGCATTGTGAACTGGCTAAAAACCAATCTCCAAGTAATGAAACAGTTTTCCATAAGATCAGCTCTCTTATATAACTTACTACAGGATCACATAAGCCATAATGGTGATGGGAACAAGCAGGAGAAAACAGGATTTTTTTTAATTTTTTTATTTTTTTTTATGATATGGAAACTAAAGCCTGAGGATACAGTTTGTTATTCATCTAATAGCAGGCTGTTAACCTGAGGGCTTTCACTTCAGTTCCCATCATTCTCACTGTGCCATACACCGCTTGCCATTACAACAGTAATCAAAATCAACTTTATTAAAGATCAGCTGAGCTCTGATTCCATCAGGATTTCTGGAGCAGCCTCACCTAAGTTTTCTGCTGGCTAACCATTGACATTTGCAAAGAAGGAGGGATAATAAACAAACCCTGGCTTAACATCTACTGTGCTGGGAAAGAAGAAAAAAAAGCAATTTAAAATCTTAGTTTGCAAAGTGATGAAGGCTCCAGAAATGATTATACCCACCTCTCGAAAGCCCATTTCAAACAAACACTCAACTGCTCCCCTGACAGGTAACAGCCTCGTGGAAAACGCCGGATTTCCATTCCGAATTGATCTGTATTTTTCTTCATAAGGATTTCTGAAGAAATCGAAAGTTTTGATTAAGTTTGCAAATTAAAGAAAACACCGAGAAGCAGGGTACCTACACTACGCGGCATCAGCCGTTTGCAAGACGCTTTTTCAAGTGTTTGGTTTCATCCACACCACATAGACGACATTCGACACCCATCCAGAATTTGGACACCAGTCACGGCCGCGGCAGGGTGCCCATGAGGGGACGGGGGGGAGCGGACGGGACGCCGCTCACCGCAAGATGTTGTCCGCGTAGGTGAGGAGCAGCCGAGAGGCCTCCAGGAAGGTGTCCCGCGCGTTCTTGCACAGCTCCCTGACGGCGGGGGAGCTGGACGGCTGGGAGAGACCCGCAGTGCCCGCCATCGCGCCGGCTGCCAGCGTGCTGCGCCTCCAGCCCCGCGCTGCGCCAGGCGACCGCCGCAGTGCGCCTGCGCAGTCACGGCGCCGAAGTCGCGGCCCCGTGGGTGGGGAGCGCCCGTGGCGGCCGCGCAGCCGATCGCCGAATCACCGATTCGCTCTCTCCGCCGATCGTGACGTCGGGGATCGACTAGGAAGCCGTCGCATGCCCACCCCCCTGCCCGTCCCGAGTGGTGCGGCCCCGCGCCGGCGGAGCCAACCACAGCTGAGCGGGGGGGAGCGCGGCCGGCGGAGGTACCGCGGGGGCTCGGCGGGCGGGAGGGGTGCGGAGCCGGCGCGGGGTGGCTGCAGCCCGAGGGCGCCTGGGATCCCACGTCGAACATTAGGGACGTCCCGGGGTGTGCAATCGGCTGTGTTCTCTGCGAGAAACGAATCCCCCTTTGCTTTTCCGCAGATCAGCCGTTCTAATTGCTTGAAGACGAGCTGCCTTTCATCAGGAGCCGTGGCTGTTAGACGTGCGCTGGTTTCATGATTCCTGCCGTTCTCTCTCCACTCTTTACCTAAAACCCAGGCTAACTGGGTAAAGATAATTTAAACCGGCAAATTGGGATTATGATTTAAAGCAGGCTCCTGTGCACGTTATAAGCGCTGTTCTTGGCTTTTTGTTTGCCAGAAATGCTGCTACGCGCGTTTTGCTGCCAGAGAATGGAGCAGGTCGCTGCTATTTGCTAGAAGTGCATTACCCTTCTGCCGACATGTGTTCCCAGTTCAGCTCTTAGTACTGTACCAAGTGCTGTGTATTTTACCAGTGCATACCCTCTGATGGCGCAGAGCCCACGTGCCCGTGTGGGTTCCACCTTTGACCATTGGTTTGTTGCTGGAAGTGATTACTTCTGCAAAGAGTCAAATCCCTTCTGCTCCCATGTGTTGGATGCATGTAACTGGGGCTGAGGAGGGCACAGCACTGCAGCACGCTGCTCAGCCCGCTCCTTGCACCCAGTGCGTCCTGCCTGAAGTGCTGATCAGCAGCAGCCCTCTGCCCTCACTTGGCATCATGGGGAGTTCCCATGGTGTTACATCCAGGGGAGCTGGGAGGGCTGCAGGCCCCGTGTTTCATGGCTTCTGGCAGCAGATAGTTCAGAGCCAGATCTGGTGTATCATCATATGGTGTAAGGGCCACAGCATTGTTGAAAAGCTGCTTTCTGGCAGAACAGTGTTAGTATGTCATTTGTCTGTATAATCGTTATGTTTCTATTAGACTATAAGTGTAAACATCACAATGTAGAGATGTCAGTCTGCACAACTGAAAAGTGATTGCAATCCAAAATGTGTTTTTTTTTGTTTGTTTGTTTGTTTTTTTTTTTCTCTTCAATTTATAAGCCTTTTGAGGTGCTGCTGTGGTGCATCCATTGGAAGTGCTGTCCCCACCCTACTCTGAATATCCGTAAGCTGATCAGAGGGCTGGAGCACCTCTCCTGTGAGGAAAAGTTAAGGGAACTTGGATTGTTTAGCTTGGAGAAGAGAAGGCTCTGGGGAGACCTCATTGTGGCCTTCCAGTACTTGAAGGGAGCTTATAAACAGGAGGGGGAATGGCTGTTTATGAGGGTGGATGGTGATAGTACATGGGAGAATGGTTTTAAACTGAGACAGGGGAGGTTGAGGTTAGATATTAGGAGGAAGTTTTTCACACAGAGGGTGGTGATGCATTGAAACAGGTTGCCCAAGGAGATTGTGGATGTCCCATCCCTGGAGGGCTTCAGGGCCAGGCTGGATGTGGCTCTGAGCAGCCTGGTCTGGTGGTTGGCGACCCTGCACACAGCAGAGAGGTTGAAACTAGGTGATCATTGTGGTCCTTTTCAACCCAAGCCATTCTATGATTCTATGAAGAATGGGTGGAGATAGGATGGTGAGGAGACTGTCTGAGATGCCTGGTTGTGTTAGTGTCAGGAAGAGATCCAGCTCCTAACCTGTGGACTAACAGTGGTGTTACCTTGTTTTCTAGCCTGTTCTGGCTGACATAAGGGTTAATACTGTGGCATCCTTAGCATGATAATGCTAGGAAATTTTAGGTCTCTCTGAGAAGGATGAAGTTGTATATGCTTATTGTTGAGGACAGCTGGTAGTTCTGAGGCAAGTTTGCAGCAAAACCAGTGAGTGCCTTGCAGCCCACAGAGGTGACACATACTACTCCTGATGACAGACATAGAAATTACATCCCTTCCTGCAGTGTTGACACTAGGGTTTTGTGTAAAGAGCAGCTTATTAACTTGGCAAGATCAGACTTGGCGTTTGTAGAGTTAATCACACGATACTTCTCCCTCACCTTTGGAGAAGAGAAGGAAAGGAAGAGTGCAAAAATATAGGATAAACTAATTTATTAAAAGAAATGCGAACTAATGCAGAATAATTAAGAGTAATAAATCGAAATGAACAAAAAATAAGGGAGAGCGAACCTGTGCGAGTCTTTATAGACAGGCCCTCCACTGCATACGTACTGGAAAAGACAAGAGAAGTCTTCCCTTGTCACCTAGAATCAGAAAATCCTGTGGAGGCTTCTGGGAAATGCAGTACAGCCCAGTGTGTCTTCCTCTTGGAGAATCAAAACTTGTGTGAGGCTGCTAGAAAACCAGGAGACACAGCTCTGCAGTGCACAGTGCCTCTGCACCAAACACTCTCTTGCATGATGTCATGGTATGGAATACTGATAAAACCAGGACACAACGTTTCTCACACTGTCTGTTTTATTGTTTGTGTCTTTTTTCCTCTCCCTGCAGCTACAGGAATGTGCACAGATTGATTGGTTTCCACCATGTTCTCAAAGTGCTCACGGGAACTGTTAAAGGTTGCAAATCTTCATCTCCAGAGTCTGAATTTGAATCCGCTTTTAAGAAATCACAGGAGAGCTTTCAGCAAGTCACTGCCCGCGTGTCGAAGGAAAGTAGTTGTTACGGGTATTGGCTTGGTGTCTCCTCTGGGTGTGGGGACCCAGCTTGTGTGGAAGCGCCTTCTCCAAGGAGACAGTGGGATTGCATCACTAGATGGGGAAGAATATGCGGGCGTTCCATGCAGAGTGGCTGCCTGTGTGCCACGGGGAGATGAGGAGGGCCATTTCAAAGAAGAGAGCTTTGTTTCAAAGTCAGAGATCAAGTCCATGAGTTCTGCTACTGTCATGGCCATCGGTGCAGCAGAGCTGGCAATGAAGGACTCTGGCTGGTCTCCACAGTCTGAAGAGGATCGTTTAAGAGCTGGTGTGGCAATTGGAATGGGAATGGTTCCACTGGAAGAGATTTCTGATACAGCTGCTTTATTTAAAACAAAGGGTTATAACAAGGTCAGCCCATTCTTTGTCCCAAAGATTTTAGTCAATATGGCAGCAGGTCAGATCAGCATTAAATACCAACTGAAGGGGCCAAATCACGCCGTGTCAACTGCTTGTACCACTGGCGCGCATGCTATCGGAGACTCCTTTCGATTCATTGCCTTGGGTGATGCTGATGTCATGTTGGCTGGAGGGACTGAGGCTTGCATTAGTCCTTTGTCCTTGGCTGGATTTGCAAGAGCTCGAGCCCTAAGCACTGGTTTTAATGCAAGCCCTAAAATGGCATGTCGGCCATTTGATTCACAGAGAGAAGGGTTTGTAATGGGAGAGGGTGCTGCAGTGCTGGTCTTGGAAGAGTACGGACATGCTGTGCAGAGAGGTGCTAGGATCTATGCAGAAGTTTTAGGTTATGGACTGTCAGGCGATGCTTGCCACATAACAGCACCTAATCCGGAGGGAGATGGTGCATTCAGGTAAGAGCTATATGTTGATTACAACAGCTGCCTCATGTATTAATTATAAAGGCTACATATATTTCTGTTGCTTTGTGGGTTTCCTAGGGAAATGCTATTCAGTCTTGAATTAATATTCCAATAGCTGAGAAACTGCATTTTACCAGCTCTTAGTAAAACGTTCCACAATGTTTTTTTTTTTAAAAAAGAAATTGGATGAAGGCCAATTCTTGCTAGAATCAACCTTTTTGTTGATGAAAGTCTTCTCTATGTGAAAACATCTTATATTTTGTGCCTTCAGCTATTCACACAAATGAGTCCCAGTGGAAACCTTTTGTTTATCACAAGATCTTGTGACACTACAGAAACTTTTGAGGTTCTCCTTCACCCTTTGTTGTAGAGACTTTTCTCTAATAACAATATGATCTCTAATAATCTAATCTCTAATAACAAATGACTTGGCCTACTTTTGCAGTGAGGTTTCTTTAAACCTCACTGCAAAAGTAGGCCAAGTCATTTGTTATGTTCTTGAAAGGAAATAACATTCCTTAAGAAATACCACATGATAAGAGGCAATCTAGTTTATTATAATATGCTTGGAAGATTTTACTAGAATAATCACTATTAGCATTAATTGTGATTATTGGGATTTAGAAAAATCTGTGACTCTTTCTAGGGAAAGTATTTAGAGAGCTTGGCTCTGCTACAGTCATGATTGAATACTTAATTCTGGTTAACAGTATTGATGAAACTGCATAGCAGAAATGCACAATTTAGTAAGATTCTAAAACTTCATTATTGTTAATCTCATAAGAAATAGTTAACAAATAGTATCTATTTAATCTTTATAATTGGACTAATTATCAGTTGAATTAGATACGTATGCATTGTTTGTGAGCTTTATGTAGGCCAAATGTCTGCAGGTTTAGGAATATCCAGTAGTTTGTGTTAATCTGAATGTATGTGAATATTTGATAACAAAATTCAATCACTGTGCGAATAGATCAAGATTCTGTGTGGTATTGTAAAGCTGAGCTTGTATCTTTATTAGATAAACACATTTTTCAGGAGGTGTAATATATCAGATTTCCTTCTGTGCTATGATTCATAGCTTATTGTGCTACAGACTTAGGTGGGAATTGAGTAATCATGAGTTTCTTACCTGAGATTTTCAGACTTGTGTTTACCCTTGAGATGATACAGCAATATTTTGTAATAGTTTTTGCATATTTTATGATTGCAATAGCATATAAATTGAATTCACAGTAGGAAGTAGCTGAAAGTTAATCTTACTATCTCCAAAATATTGTGCATTCCTACCCTTGAGATGAGATAATACATTTTAATACAATCTTCATACTAATATTTGGTTTTTGCAGTCGTGTGTGAATCAAATCTGAAATGTATATGCTTCTCTTACTTCTCTGTAGGAATTCTATTTGCCATGTCAGAAAATTGCAGGGGAACATATATTTTGTCCTTGTCTAATAATTGCTTCAATTGGAGATTAAAACATGTTGGAATGAACCTAACAGGAAAGGAGAAGCAAGGCCAGACTCAGAAGTGTGTCTATGAAGTGTTGTGTTCTACACAATAATCTGTTATCTCATTAAGTAATTATGTTCCTTGCAGCTTTAAATTAATGTATCTATTTCCCTCAATGTTGATCAGTAATTGTTTTTGTCTGAATGCTGGCTTGCTATCTAGTGACAGTGAGAATCACTGAACTATAACCTAAGCTAAGCTGGATGCTTCTGGGAGTAGAAAGCTGTAATGGAACATTTCAGTTTCTCCAGCAGCTTGCGCTGCCTTTTTTCTTGATCTTCCCTTTTACTTTCTTAGTTTTCATAAATGTCAGGAGTCAGTGATCTTTTGCAAGAAAGGTTGTGTGAATGGTCACCTTTCTATAAGAAATTGTGGAAAAAACCAACACTATGGAGCTGTATCTTCCGATAAAATAATAATATATAATCATATTATTAAATAAAAAATTTAATAAAATAGCATGGTTTATACAGGCATTTGTAGTAAACAGGTAATCAAGAGCCACAATGGAACACGTAGTATCAGAATGGATGAGTGTGACATTCAGTAAATTTCATTTTAATATACAGGAATTTAGACTATCATCTTGCTACTCTAGAGAAAGAAAGTGGATGATATCTTCTCACCTCTAGAAAGCATGCAAAAACAACTCACAAGGAGTACAACTTTAGAATATTTCTTGCATCTCCAAATATTTTCTTTGGATAGAGCATTTTTTATTCTGATTTCCTAATACTGTAAATGTAATGATAAATAAAAGGTAGAAACTGGGGAATCTTCTTTTCCTTTACAAAGCCAAGGGGATTTCCTGGAGCACTGTGCTGAATGTTTCATTAATATCAGCTATACTAGAGAAACTTCACTGAAAGGAATCTTCATTCTGGTAATAATTTCAGGTAGTTATTCCTCTCAAATGTTTTAAAATTTTGCTTTGAAGAGGAACTTTGACATACTAATGCCATCTGCAGAAATTATCTTCTTTCTTTCAGCTTGTATTTTTTTCAACTGTGGAATTAAACCAAGTAAGTTTTTAGTAGGAAATGTGATTCGATAGTGGACCTCACCACTGCTGTCTTTCTCGAATGACTAAATGTAGATGTTAGTTTAGTTAGATGAACACCATCTCTTCTCAAAACTAGTAAAGTATGTCATGCAGATTTCTACATTTGCCAAACAGTTTCAGACACTCTGTGCCTTTCCTTTTGGTTTGAACACATGACGAAAATATAATGGAAAATTCAGCATTCTGGTGTTGTTTGTTTGTTTTCTCTTAGATGCATGTCTGCAGCAATAAGAGATTCTGGAATCAAGCCTGAAGATGTAACATATGTCAATGCACATGCAACTTCTACTCCTTTAGGAGATGCTGCTGAGAATCAAGCAATCAAGAAACTTTTTAAAAATCACTCACGTAATCTTGCAGTCTCCTCGACAAAAGGAGCAACAGGACATCTTTTGGGAGCTGCAGGAGCTATTGAAGCAGCTTTTACTGCGCTGTCCTGTTACCATGCAATTTTACCACCTACTTTAAACTTAGAAAAAACAGAGCCGGAGTTTGATCTCAATTATGTTCCATTAACAGCTCAGGAATGGAGAACTGGAAAGCGACGTATTGCACTTACAAATTCATTTGGCTTTGGTGGTACTAATGCAACTTTGTGCTTTGCAAGTGTTTGACTTGTGCTGTGCATGTTGTGAAAAGTGGCACTCAATGATTTTCTGTACTGCCATCTTTGTTGTATACTATAATCTTTTCTCAGCATTGAGATTTGATACATAACTTTATTTACTCCAACATTTATATCAGTAATTCTTTTAAAAAGAGAGAATTTCTTTTTCTCGTTTTAATAAAAAAATAAAGACCTACTCTTCATGTGGTAAATAAGTTTCTATTTTTGCTCAAAAAGGAGACTTGTAGCAAGTAATCTGAGTAGCATTGTTTTGTGAGAAGAGGATAAAAATGATAAATTCTGTATTTCAGTGTAATGATACATTTATGATCACTGTGTCTTCATTGGTCTCCATCATTTTTGAGGCCAAATGATTATCCTCTTGTGAACTCTGACTTGCTTATTGACTGAAAGACAGTTTTTTTCTTCATGTTTTCTCCTTCTGTTTAATCTAAATTTGTTTCCTATGATGTTCTTTCCAGTATTCAGGATGGAATGCCATCTGGCTGTGCATATGGACATTAGTTCTATGTAGTGAAAGGAAAAAAATGGACATTCATGCTTTTGCTAGGTTCTTATATCTTGTCTTGTCTTAGCTTGTCCAATGTGAGCATAAATTATAAATTGATATAATGGATTAGGTAGTGCTCTTTTTTGCCATTGTGTCTATAACGCTGCTCGCTGTGCACTGGAACACTGTGTTAGGCACTGGAGTGGAAGATACTGCCTCTCAAGAACATGGATTTCTGCTAATCAGCAGCATTCTGCTTTTAGTTTTGGCACGAGTTCTGATGTTGGTATGATCTCCAAATGCCTTCCAGGCAAAAGATAATCTGAGTATTGGTGTAGGTTGATGGGATTTTCGTCTGTTTTGGCTGACAAAAAGCCTTACCCAGCACCCACTGCATTTCCACTATAATTCAACTCTAGTATGCCAGCATCTCATCTAAAGCCTAAGAGCTTAATTCTTGTCTTCTAACTTTATTTTAATTTTCTGTTGCAATTCCAAGTGGGCTTTTTTTTTATTAATCTGATTGTTTGATTTTGAATAAATTAATTGTGAATGCAGAAGTGCAGTCATGCCAGTTGTCCTTGAAGATGAGATGTTTCAGTCTTCCAGCTTCCTACTTAGTTTCCCAGTGGCTGAGAATATCACCTTAGTGCTTATACCAGTCTCAGAGTTATGATAGAGGGAAAAAAAAATGATATAAGAGTGTAAAAGTAATTGAAATGCAGGTTAAGTAGTGGAGTTTGCTAATTAAGCTGGATCAGAAAATTATCACTAGAAAACTATCACTGGTGTTTCTTAGCCAGCTTCTTTTTTGGTATTAAAAAAAACCAAAAAAAACCTAGATACTAAAGAAACATATTTTTAAACTCTTTTCTGTAATTACGCAGAATTCAAGTTATCAACAATCAATTTCTAAGTTTGAACAATTAAGGCAGAACCTACTGTATGTCAACCTGATGAAGTGTTCATTTAGAAAACAAGTAAGAAAAACTACTACTGAAATTATGAGGCTGTATAATCAATGAAAATTATATAAAGGAATATTATATAATTTAATAATATTAAGATGTTATAATAATGAAATAAGCAAGAGAGTTAGGCACAGCGAGACAAAGAGAATAAATAGGAGGCTTACCCATGTCATGGGCTTGTTCAGGAAACTCCAGTGGAGTGGATCTTCCAAAGAGAGAGAGATCCTTCCCCACTGGTAGTCAGCTCTTAAATGGGTCTAGGAGAGGTGGAGCCAGGCTCCACCCCTTCCTGCAGCACAGGTGAATTGCTCACCTCAGGTGACTAATCAGAGGTTCAGGCCGTGACTCAGCAGTTCCCATACAGAGGCACATACATGTGATGATTAAGAGGTCTCAAATAAAGAAGTTGCATTTTATTGAAAGTTTTATAAGTATACTGCAATTTACACAACTGTAGCAATCCACTGATCAACCTCTGTTTTTACTTAATTAGATTTTTTTTCCCTAAAATTTGGCACAGAAATTACTCAGAAACATTTATGCAAAAGGGATGCTGGCTAAGTTAGGACCATACAGCTGTGACTTGATAACTTGTATGATGTAAAAGATTTATGACATAGCTCCCATTTACCTATTGCCTTTCTAGTTCTATTTTTTTCCACCATCAAAAGGCATTTCAAATACTGTAGACTTGCACACATTCTTCCACACAGGTGATACACAGAAGATAGTAACATAGGTTGATAAGATTTCTGACAGTGAATCATTCTTTTCTGATTTTTTTTTTCATTTCCATGCATTGTATTGCTTCACTAATGACATTGAGGAACAATAACAGTGAGTGGAAATACTAGGTCACGGCTTGAACCAGAGATTGAGCACCTAGTAGGAAGGCAGGGCCAACCCAGGCAAATTCAGGTACAAGCAGTGCACCTGAGTGACTGGAAGGGGTGGATCCTAGCTCCACCCCTTCCCAGACCTCATTTAAGGGTTGGCAGTGAGGGCAAGGGTGTTTCATCTGAAGTTCCTTGATTACCTGAGGATCTTCTAAGCCGGATCTTCTAAGCCTTCAGAAGGTAAGAAGCTTTTTTTCTCTTATTTTTGTGCCTGCTGCTGTTGCATTTGAGCAGATCCTTGCTTGCTGTAGCCTGGTGTCTTGCAGCTCTGCTGTCTTGTAACGTGATGGGAGGAACAACAAGTATATGTACTGCATGGCCTGTGTATCTTCCATGCTCTATGAGGATAGAAATAATAGATGACAATGCTTTTTAGTTATAAAATTTTACATGAAGATAGTGTGGTAGATAATCAAATATTTTAGTAAGTGTAAAATATGGAAAAGATTCTTGAGCACTCTAATTGATTTACCAAAAATAGAAAAATAGAGGTAACTAAAATAATAATCAAACATACTGATAGTGACTTAGGTTTTCTTATGCAAAGAAAAAGTAAAAATGGATTCAATTGTTCCTTGTAGCATCAGTCAGCGTTTCAGCCAAGTAGTGTCTTGATGGTGCATGTATATGTGAAGTTTGACATCCTTATAGCTGTTTTACTTTATTAAAAGAGTTTTCCTGAGTATTATGTTACCTTTAGCGTTTATATGTAGAGGCAGATTGGCTTGCTGGATTTGAAGTAAATGGCACATAAAGTAGCCATATCACAGGTAAATTTCATTCTGGACAGAGATTGCTAATGGGCTATTATGAGGCTTAGCTATACTCCAAAACCTCGTTATTTATACTAATGGTCTTAATGATGTGACACAGCATAATTTTAGCGTTTGCTGTCTTCTCTGAGTAGAAGGAGAATAATGAGAAAAATACAGAAAACAATTAAGACTTTCAGAAGCTGAGCTGGCACAGGGCAATGCAGTTCAAACCAGATTGATGTGAAATAAGCCTGAAAAAAAACACGTTACCAAAGGGAAAATGAAAAAGCATGCTGCCAGGAGAGCTGGGGAATTTGCTGTGAGGAAAAATGTCTACAAACATCTCAGCTGATGGTAATTAATAGCAGCAGTACGATGAATGAGAATCTGGATTGCATGCAGTATTAAAAGGCACAATATAAAATTCAATATTACTCTCTGCAAATTACATGCAAAAAGAAATTAATTTAAGGAAGTCAGCCTCTAAAAGCAAGCTAGCAGCAGGATTGTGAATTTGGAGGAAATCATGCAGTGAGTTTCTTCTGGAGATGACTTTTTTTTCAGGCTTCTGTAAGCAGGGGTGGAATTTAGGAAGATGAAACACTGCTGCATTAGCGTGGACCTGAAGTATAGTCTAGCTAAACATCCACTCTTGCTACATAGCTATAGATCTGTAATTAATGTTGTGACAGAGAGAAATGCTTTACTCTCTTTCAGCTAGCAGAGATCATGGCCTCAGGAGCGCTAGATGCGATCTCTTGTGTACAAACCATGGAAAGACAGATGATACTACTGCTTAGAAAAATAGAAATTGGAATGACTAGAAAAATCATCTTTCACCACACTTCCTCTCATTGCAGTTTAATTATCTGCTGTTGGTAACCTTTAAAATATGAAAGCTCTGTGGTGATAGCTATCTTTGATAGCATGACTAGGGATAATTTTAAGAAGCCTGGATGCAGTAGTAGTGTGCTTTCTAAGGATTTATTAAATTAAAAAAAAAAGAATAGTTCCAAAGTTGAACCCTGTCAGTGTGAATTTTGTTTGTACAAGTTTTGTTTTTATGTACTTCTTTAGATTAGTCAATTTTTTCCATGCATCCTGCTGAGCTGATCAGGGACTACTTACTGCTAATTACTGCGTTATTATGATAGCTACTCACATAAAAGGAAAATAGATCTGTCTCCATTGCTGAACTATGAAACAGGCAAGTTGAATAACATGATATAACAGAAAGCTTTCCCTTAAATGTACACTTAATAATAACAGGTATAGTGGCCCAGAAATTGCCTTGTAATTTTGGTGTCGATAGTAGTCAGGCCAGCAAAGCCTGGAAAAGCCAGCAGTGACCTTGTCGTGACACCAGCCAGCTCCCTCAGAGCTTGTAGGCATGTACCACCAGGGTCTATGTCCAGTTTGTTTAAAATGTTCCTCCTGATCTTCCACTGAGGTGGAGTCTGCCTCACCTTGTACAAGTCAGTGTGTTTTCCTGCCTATCTGCTAATTATTTGCCTTTCTCTAGCATGGAAGCTTTAAATGTAACTTTTTTGATAAGTCATGAATCAGCTTGCGAACTCGCAGGATGATTGTTCCTTGTTCTATGACCCATCCCACCCTACCTAACAGCCACAGATGGGACAGAATCATGTTGAATGTTGCAGAGTATTTGGGATTTGTGTTGAGCTTTTGTTCTTTCAGAGCATTTGAGGTGGCCTGAAGTGAAACCTGCCTTTTAGCTTTGGGACCAGTTATGGAATAGGAAATCAACTGGTACAGATGGCTCCAAAAGCTGGTTCCTAGTTTTTTGTAAAGTAAATTGTCTTTCCTTTTCCTTTTATCTTCAAGTTTGCTTTCATGAAATACATTTTCTGATACAGAGGAGGAAAAAAAATTGTGATAAAAGATGGGAGAAGCTTTACTAGTTTTCATATGTGATTGGGAGTTGAAAAAATCCATTAGAAATTGATTTTTTTTTTTTAAACAATACAGGTAGTATTTCAGAGGTAAATGACTTATCAGGTGATGTGAAGAATGAGTGGTATAAATTTGCAAAGAGATTTATTTTGCATCTGTTGTTTAATAAAAACACTTAGTAAGGCTTTGTATTGACTGTTGATGTCAGAAAAAATGAATATGCTTATATTTGAATCTATGTTCATGTCTTTATTTTAAACAAGGTAGAGCCAAATCTGAATATAGTTAGCACAAGAGACATTTCACTATATTTTCTGAGCATTGTATTGAATATTTCTACCTTGGATTTTAAGCAGTCTTCCATACTGTGTATTTTGATCTGTCAGCAGTATGTGCTTGTCTTATTTTCAACTGGGAAATGTGTTGCCATACTACAGAGTGAAAAAGAATGAATTACTAAGTTTTTCTTTCTCTACTTTTTTTTTTTAGTTAAAATCTTCTCTTGTCTCTTTATCTAGTTTGTATATAAATAATACATTGCCACTTGATTTTACTACTTGAAAAAGGAAGAAAACCTTTTGACTGTATTTTCTCAGTTTAAGTTATGAAGGCATGCATCATTTTAAGGCAATTAAGATACCTTAAAAATAAGGGAATGTATTTTACCTTATTTTGTAAAAGCACAGGTATCTAAAAGAAGTCAAGCCCATTCTCAAATGCAGTTGAGCATGTTAATGTTCTTATTTACTAAATGATAGAACATGCTAATCACACCGATTTGTTTAATGGCTTGTATAAAGATGGCCGTACTCTAACTTCTTCAGTAGAAGCAAAAAGGACTAAGGTGCTCTCACTGTACTTGAAACACCTAAATGAGTCCTTTTCAGACAGAGGCTTTTTTTGTGATTTCAGTCATCCTAACGAGGTTCATGCCCTTGCATATATACTTATAAGTATTCTTACCTTCCCTTTTTTTTTTTTTAACACAAAAGTTAGGTTTCACTTGAAACAGACAGACATTTGATCATTCAGAACCTCAGTAAGTTTGGGCTGGTCTTCCACTACTTCTGTTCATCATCTGGGTAGAATCAAATCTCCCTACCTCT